TGAGTTCAATCATAATCTTAGATTAATGAATTAGTTCCCCATCAAGTCACATATTATCATCGAATAAAATTTAAAAATTAAAGCCAAGAGAATAAGAGAATAAGAAAAAGATAGTGCAAAATCAATGATTGTATTCTTGATCTCCAAATCTCAATGAATCCTTCAAATTCCTTTTAGCTTTAATGACCTTGTGCTTGACACTCAATTGTCAATCTGGTGTTTCGTTTTTTTTCCTCTTTTTCTCCTTCATTTTTCAAAAGTCCTTCGAAAGGTTGTTTTTATAGGCTTTGAAGTTAGGCCAAGTTGGGTGAAGAAAAAAGTCAATTTCAGCTAGGATGTCTTCATCAGACTATGCGAGTCGCAACCTTGCCCAATTAATTAACAGAAATCGTAATTGCTCTAGGACTACTATAATGTGTCAACTTTGACAAGATTTTTGACCACTTTTCAAGCCAAACTAGGTGAAATAGTAAACTTAAAAGTTTTATATTTTTCTCTTATCTTTCCAATGGTCTAAGAATAATTTCATTTGAATCTTTGTAGAGAGAGTTATGGCCGAAATACCCAAAAATATGCATTAAAAGTCTGCAGCTTGAAAGTGCTTTCCTTTTTTCATTAAAATTCTTTTTTCATCAAACACCTACAAAACTAGAAATAAGTCAGTAACAACCTATCTTAACTACATTAACAATAAATTAAGCATAAAATTAACTAAAATTAGATTGACTCATCTAAATGAACTAATTTAAATGAATTAAATAAAATCTACTAATTTTTATGTATTACTATAAGAATTAAGCTAAATTAGTATCAAAATTAAGCCCAAATAACTCTATATCATAGAGTTACCACACCCCAAAACTTGATATTTTTCTAGTCCTCGAGCAAAACATAGAAAAGAAACTAACTTACGAAAATCAAATTCAGTTAATAAAAACTAACTACTACTACTAGTACTACTAGTACTACTAGAGATAAAGTGCACCAACTTGATGATTTCATATAATTTCCTTAAAAGTATGTCTATCAATCATTAACTTAAGAAAAAAATCAGCCTCATTTAAATTCATGTTTCAATTTCGATGCAAGCACATTCTCGAATGGATTTTTTTGTGTGCGTGTGATCTTTTACCAAGAATATCATAATATCCAGATGAGTTTATACCAACACAAATTTCAAATTAGTACTAGAACTCCATAAGTTTACTTTTCATCTCTCTCTCCACTAATGTACACTAATATCAAGCTAGCGATCAGTAGGACTTTAATAAGCTTGTAATGTACGGCTAGGGTCAAGGTAGGATAAAGGATATTAATGCGGCTCAAATCACCCTAAGCACAGAATTATTCTAGAACCTATCTATAGAGCTCTATTTTCCTTCTCCAAGTACACATTTTCTTCCACATTGGAACTTTTCTATTCTTTTTTCAACAAATGTTTTTCACAATTTCACAATTTCACACCCCTAAACTTATTTTCTTTGTATTATAGGTAGTGGGGTTACTTTTAATATTTTGAATTTTTTTTTCAACATCACCTTTCCGCCTTTTACAATATTTAGCTCAATTTATATTTCCTAAAACAATATACATGCTTAGGAGTGAGGGTTGAAAAATTGAAAATTTTATTTTAAGGCTAAGCTCAATTATTATGTAGTTAAACAAAGAAAAGGGAAATTAGGCTCAAAAAGGGTATACTAGGGATAAAAATTTAACAAGGTGGCTTTTTAAGTTCAAATAGTCCAAAGATGGCCTAAATCATTGCCCTAACTAAGTATTGCCTAAGATTTCACCTCGAGAGAAAATCAAGCAAATTCTAGAATTCATGACATAATATAAAATTCACATCAATATAAACCTTCTTTAGATATTCATAATAATTCAAAGTAAAAGATATAACGCTCAAAGTTGTGGAAATCACATTGTAACAATGATACTTAAATAAAGCATTTAGCATGAATCCAAAAAAAAACCTTATTCACCAAAAGTTAAGAATTCAAGACAATTAGTTATCACATTGGATAGAAAAAGCATCGAAAAACTTGGCATAACTTTACTCTAGATTCCCTAAATTCGAGCAAATAATAAATTCATTTACCAACTAATCCTAAATTATTTATAAATCAGGATAATCATGCAAATAAAATTAAATTTAAAACTCTCACAGAATATTTACCACCAGAAAAATAAATTCACTCTCTCAAAATTAAACTACACATTGTCCTCAATGTTAGAAAAAAAATAAAAGAAAGGTAAAGAACACTCCCCTGATGATTGGATGAATCTTGAAGAAGTGCTAGCCCTTCTCCTCATTTTTATTGTCATCATCCTCATTGTAGTTCTAGGAATTTTTTTTACTACAAAAAATAAATAAATAAAGAAAGATTAATGTAGGAGAAAAAAATACTAAAAGTAAAAATAAAAAAAAGAGTTTTATTAGGTACTGGGCTGCCCATTATTGGCAGACCATCTAAAAAAAAATGGGGTGGGAGGGGGGGGGGGGAAGGGTAATGGGGAGTGGGTATGGGTTGCCCAAATAAAAAAAAGGGGACTGGGTTTGGTTAGTGGGTTGCCTAATGTTGGCAGCGCAATGAAGGGCAGTGGGTTGCCAACAACATCAGGGGGCATCTTACCCCATGTAAGATCAATAAGAGTTTTTTTTTTAATCGAGCTGCAACTTAGAGCCTAGTGAAGCTCAGTTCATGTTATTTTATGTTCGAGAAGCTATGGTTTCCCATAAGGGGAGCCGCGGCTTACCACATTTTTTTAATTTTTTGTTTTGAAATTCTTTTTTGAAACTTTTTTTGAATTTTTTTTTCAAATTTTTTTACATGTACCTGCACAAATAAAAGACAGTGTTATTAATTTAATAAATAAATAAATAAAATAAAATAAAAGAAAGTAAGTTAAAGTGCTTGGGTTACTTCCCAAGAAACATTTCTTTAAAGTCATTAGCTTGACTGTGGTACCCCCTTCTACACTGCTTTATACAGCTTGAGACTTTCTTTATTGATCTTGACTGCTCTAGTAAGCCCACTACAAATCTCAATAACATCATAAACATAAATCTTTACCTCCATAAAGGTGTTCCCCAATATGGTCTAAGATTCCATGGCGAAAGAGAGTTTTGAATCAAAAAATACTACTCATAGTCCAACCACAAAATCAAGATGACTAAAAAGTGGTGGTGGTTTTGTCTCAAGAGGTGGCGCCTGCTTTGTTAAAGGTGTTGGAATGGGCTTACCTTTACCCTTATTAACTAAATCCATTTTCTAGCAACTATCTATATAGGGATACTGAGTTGCATTGAACAAATTAAATACCACTTCCTTCTCTTCATCTTTGAAAGTTATTTTGCCATTCTTCACATCAATAATTGCTCTAGCTATAGCTAAGAATGGTCTCCCCAAAATAAATGGAATTTCAACATCATCTTCAATCTTGAGCATAATGAAGCCCACTAGAATATATAAATGCCCAACTTTAAGCAAAACATCCTCTATAATCCCAACTGGGTGCCTGATTGTTCTGTCTGCTATTTGTAAGGTAATTGTAATAGGTTGTATCTCTTGAAATCCAAGTTTTCTGACAATAGACAAGGGCATTATTGGAACACTGGCACCTAAATCACACAAAGCTTTAGAAATTT